ATTGAATTTTTTAAAATGAAAACTCGAATCAGAGCCAGATGAAACTCTTGTCTCAACGTTAACTCTCGGGGAAGGCACTGCACGGGGTATACGTGTGTACCTGCATAAGAAGAAATCTCATGTGCTTCCGGAAATGCTTTGTTAGCGCGGGAGTATTGAATAACGCAGGATTTCAAACTAAAGAAGCACTTCGTCAAAAGGCGAATCGCTCGGCGAAGATGCGAATGAAAGGAAAGCGAAGGTTCGTAGCTCGGCTGTGGAAATTGGAGATGCCGAAGGAGGCAAATAGAAGCAGTGCGGGCCTTTGGTTGGGAAGAGTGGGTGAGGCCAGCGAGAGTTCACAAAGGATCGACTGACAGCACTGTCAGCACTGACAGCGGGCTCGAGTTACGTCACTGGCTGTTGTGCTTTTTCAGGGCGGCCATTCAGATTTGGGTAGCCGGTGCGGGCGTGCAGTAGGCAAACGAGGGAGGTGCTTCATGGGTAATACATTTGAAGAGCCCAAAATCTCGAAACCTATACGAAGATACACTTGGTAATTGTTAAAAAAAAAAAAATTATTTTAAACTTAATAAAATTTTAAAATTTCGGCCAATGCAATTTTTAGAATTGGTAATAAAAAATTTTTACAAGATATTTTGAAATTTTGTCAATCCTAATTTTACTACCACTCTTCTCCTTGCGTCGATTCGGAATAAAATTCCCACCGTCGGTCCCGTTTCTTATTCTTGAGAAGCAGAGTAGTCTCATAGTCCAAGGGTAGGTGAATACGTAACCGGAGGCCGGATGTCTCCGCCCAGGATGGATGGATGTCTTGCAAGGTACTCTTCGCGAGTAGACGAGGAGTACCCAGTAGGCCCCTTCTTTCAAGCCAAGAAAGCGGCGGGCTCTGATTTCTGATCTCCTTGCTGGTGCAGCTACTTGTCACTTTGCTTCCATCCACGCCCCCTGACGATTCATGAGGAAAAAGTTCGTTACGCGGAGATGCTACCAACCGACGAAGTCCATAATTTTAACATAACATTGCACTTCCGCCCGACTAACGGACGTTTAATATTGTCATTGCGATTTCGGGCCTGTTCCGACGCCACATACGTTAGTAACTCCGGTAACGCTGGTATAAAGGGTGTCCAAATAATCTGCAGTCTCTTTATTATCTTACGAACAAAAATAAGCTGCGTTTTTTTTTTCACAAGGTATAAAGGTATATCTCAAGAATTCAAGAGTAGGTATAAAATTATTGATAAATAGGAAAAAAGTATACATTGTACCTTGTTCTATTCGACAATAAAGAATTGCATTACGTTGATGCACCCAGGTAAACTTCCCATGTCAAATTAGCTCACAGAGAGATGAGCGAGTTCACATGAGTCGATAAGTTCACATATGGTGAAATTAGTGATTCTCGTACACTCACCTTTGCTCCCCTATTGGGCCCAGGTATGTACAGCATAGGTAGTACGATGCTCTGTTATGTGATATGGACTGGGACCATATGCCACGATTTTCCCATACGCACCCCCGTTAAATCGTATCGATGTATTCGACGATTGCAACAGGTCGTCCAGTTAGAAATTCGACCAAATGTCAGGGTGTCAATGCCAGATCGCGACAAGCGTTTCGATCCATCCTGAATATGATAGTAATAATTGTACAGGCCTTGGAATAAATGGGGAAAAGGGTTAAACGAGGAAAAAAATAAATGCAATTACAATCGCGACACCTTGCACCGTTGAAAAGCAGAGCAGAGCCAAAAGCAGGTGAGGTGGATGAATTTGCATTCGCAAAGGCAAATCTGCCAGGAGGAAGCAGGACACTGACAGAGTCAGTACGAAGTGAGGCTTATCCTCCATTACGCGGGACTCGGCGGGCCCCCCCGTTCGGCTTCGGGGCCTTATTTTCAATTCCGGGCTTGACGGGATGGGATCCCATAGTACTTGACTAGCCAACCGTATGATAGCCATGGGATTACTGCGACTTGTCGGCCCCTGCTCCAATGATCCCAATGGAGGCGCTTCCTTACAAAAATGTCAACCTAATTTCGCAAGATCTTCCCTCCCGATTGGTCATGACAAAGACGTTGCCTGGCCCTGCTTAACGGCAACTTTACTCCTGGTTGAACGAAGGGCGCTAAACGCGAGATCCTCGCCCTGGTACATTCTTACAGATTTATTCAAACAGCTCTACCTCGAGGATCGCCTCTAAGTCGTTCCTGTGGCTCGAAAAAAAAAAATTCAATAAAAATCAAAATCTACTCAAAATTGATTTCTCACTTTTTGACCTGCATATAGTTTTCGTATGATCTACAAACAGTTGGTAAGAACGGAGAAAAAAATCTGAACAGACTTCACACAGGACCCTGGTCCTTGCTACGGTGTTGGGATACTGCAAGAGGGGAAGAAAGAAATGCTCGATGTGGCAGCTTATGCTGTGCTTTAGTGAGGACTAGCCTTTTCGGAACCTCATTAAATGCAATACCAGTAAAACAAGGCGCAAACAGTGAATGGCTGCTGTGGGATTACCAGCCGGTCCACCTAAACGGCCCGTAGATGTTAGGCAAGATAGCGGCGACATAAGAGACGGCTACCTGAATTTTCAGTTTTTGGATTTAGACTCCTCAAAGCTAAGCACGAGCCTCGAGGCTTACTTATGTACCGAACCGGTCCGAGCCGTACCGAAGCTTCGAACGTACAGTACCGAAGCAAACTGGACCACCCGTTGACCCGTTACTTATATAACGCCGTCTGGATGATGCTCATCCAAAATCCGAATTAGCGACAATTTCGTGACACGATTAGGCCCAAGCTCGTACTAAACTAGCTTTCTCAGTACTTAGAACTGACCCTATTATCAGCGTCCTGTTCACAATTCTAAACTACGCTATGCCATTAAGCATAACCATTGTCTGTACAGACAGTCTAGAAATTCTGAAAGAACAACCGATTGGACAGCTGCCCGGTATGGTTGACCATATAATAATTGACCCCAAGGAATCCAACGATTGATCCTAATCCCCTGTTTCGCACTGTTCGATCGACGTGTTTGTAAATAAATATTGTTATTTACTAATTCGAGGCAATCAAAGTGTCTCTTTAATATAAATTGCAAAATTTTTCAATAAATTACATCCGTATATTTTCGTCAGAATTTTGTCTCCTGGTTTCATCGATTTCTCTGGTGCGTCTCCATCCCCTAAATTTTGTCACCCTAAAACAACATTGCCATATTGTATGAAATAGTTGGTACGTATGGTCCACAACGGTGCGGCTAGGTATACGTATTATCGAGTGTTACCATTCCAGATCTTGTGGTACCCTCGTGCTAGACAATTGTATTTTGATTCCGGTCCTATTACAACCGTTTAGCTGCATTTGCCTTCTTGACAAAGCGACTCGGATCTCTTATGCGCCCCGAGCGAAGTTCCTCCTGAATGCAGCGACCGTGCTGGAAGCTTTTGTGCATGGATTTTTCGGACAGTTACGTGGATAATCTCGCCGACATATTGCGCCAAAGCCAAACTAGTACGCTCTGTTGAGCATTTCTTGGAGGAGCCAAATAGTCGAGTTCTCTTACTAGCATATATATATATGGTCACGAGAGAAAATATCTTTCTGAGAATAATGGAACATCTCTACCAGATACTAACCTTCAATTCGAATGGTTGGCTTATTTCCTATGGAAAAAATCGCTATTATGTTCCATTTGTAATGCCCTGAGTGTCTCGCATTAAATAGCCATGAAATTTCAGAATTTTTATTCTCCCTAAAAAAGATGAATGAAAAATCTCCAAAAAATATTGAAAAAAAAAAAACATTTTTTTTTCACGATTCACTCAAAAAATTGAATTCGCTTCGTACAAATTTTGAGGGAGATTTCTCATAGTAGCGAAAATCCTTATTGAGATCTCAGTGCGCGCGATGAGACTACAATTGATGAAAATAAATAAAAATAATTTTTAATTTTCGAAAGTTTGTTCGCATAACTCGTCCGAAAAACATGAATCCGTGCGTGTACAGGTATTTACAAGAAGATGGATGCTGACGCTTCACGAGGGTGAAATTTTGGTAGCGAAGATGTTTACACGCGTTTCGATACACTACTCTTGCTGATTAAGCCCTCGCATCACCCCAAGTTGACAGAGTTCGTAAAGGATTGTTCAGTCGAGGCATCGTCAAGCGATCACAGACAACAGATAATTCAAAATCAAGTCAGAGAGTTAGACGCGAACATCTGCCTGACCGAATATTGCTGTACGGCTTTGTGTTTATCCACCTCCGTATTCTATTCAGTAAAGAATAAGCAGCCAGCCCTGCCGATCATAGAAATCTACCTGAATGAATTTTTACGCATCTACGCATCAACGAATTCCAACAGCGATTTTCAGTGCTTGTAACCGCAGTGAGATAATTTACAAACGTCATGATAAACAAGCCCAGCAAAAACGTGAGTTAGAAAAATTTTACCTCATATGGAAAAAAAAAACATTTAAATGTATAACCGTTCGAACAAGGATGGTCGGGTAAAAAATTGTTGTATTGGGTGAAGTACTTTAATGACTGAAGTTGACGAGAGTATTTAGCGCATGGATAAGGGCAAGTGATAGTTTCGTAATAGATATGCAATTGCGCACCCTTGATTCTATCGTGAGGGCATAAGGGCAATTCATTAGGTAAATCTGTACAAAGCGTCAGTCGTATTAGCCCCAGTGGTGACAGTAACGCACAATGAGAGACTCCGGATAATGGAGGGTGACGGTGGCTTCGTTTTTACCAGATCCTGCTGGCCCTATGAATGAGGTAGCGAGCTGCGTAGTTCTCGCGTTCAACCCCTCGACGAGGGAAGTCCTGCCTATCCAAAAGGACCGCCCTTGCCGAGGGTAGGGAAACTCTCGGCCAATCGGATGCGGAGTTGCCCTCAAAACGGGCACCGACCAAACCATCAAAAAGTCTCGACTACGATGACTGTCAGTCACAATTCATTGAAGAGTTAGCAGAGGAGCATTAGGACTTTTGCCCGTGAGCCACGACACATTGACGGCAGGTGCCAATTGACAGTTTGAGTCTTTTTCGACTTCATTTGGGTGTTACTTAATAGTACAGTGACAGTGAAGACTGTTTTGGACCTCCAAGGGTTGATTGGGACAACCATGCAAAGCCAGGAAACACAGTTGGGACACATCCCAGTGTCGCAGCCTAAAATGCAAGCGTCCTCGAGTAAGTAAGAAATTAAAAAAAAAATAAAATAACTTTATATGAAATTAACAAAAAAAATGTTGGTTCTTCATCTTGCGTATTTTTTCACAAGTTTTTATGCCCTTTCTACGTACTGACGCTTACTGATAACGAAACTAGTAGACTTTTGAAAAGTTTTCTAAGACCATGGAAAAGCGTTAAAATTGTTATTTGCGCGGATAGACCCCCATGAATATTTTTATACTTTCTATTTTTAAGCCTCTCTAAGCCTTAAAAATTTGTAGAACGGGTTAAAACCTTTTTAGCAAAAAGGTCCTTCGACTTAAATCTTACCCAGCGAATCTTGTCCCGGTCGTGTATTTTCGTTTGATTTTTTAAAAATTTTATTATCAATTTCACTATTTTTCATTTAAGGAATTTCCTTAAGTAACTATAACTACTTGTGGTTCGATTTCATAGTACCTGTGAACTATGTAGATACGCGAAGTTCTACCATCTTTTTTTGTACCTACAACGAACCAGAATACATTTTCATACTGGGTTAAATTGCACTCGCCCTATACAAACAATACACCATTATTTCCCAGTCATATTAATGGCACTTGCCTTATCCCTCATTTTTGTTGTATCATAAAAATTATATGTACATTATGTATACAGAAACCTTAAGGAATACAGAGATAACGGCAAAGTTGATTATTACAGCTGACAGTCAATAAAAAGGAAATCGTGTTTTTAGCTGCAATCATTAACGCAAAACCACAGTCATAAAATCCTCACAATTTCAAAATATTCTCCGACTCTTAATGTGACTGAAAAAATATATATAATTGACATGGGTCATATTCCAGTGCGGCGTACAGTACCAATCAAGTCTATTACAATATTGCAATTTAATGTAAAATGAGGTATTTTCGAAAATTTCATTACATCCTAGGTATATAGATATTGACAAAAGGCGGCACAAAAAAGTGGTTCCCTATAACTTCAAAGTCGGTCGGCACTGAGTGATTTCATCTCGTGTGAAATGAATAGCATGTGGCATTTAAAATTGTCTGTTCGTACATTTAAAGGATTCACCCCCCAATGACGTATTCGTCCATGAGAAAATAACGCCAGATGCACAAAAAAACACAATATGGGAAGAATCACCGTGTAGGAGTATATAACAGGTTGTCACGGTCGGTTTATTCTGTTAGGTCATCTGGTGAAAAATCACTAGAATTCACAGTCGAGTGGCTCCCTGAGATTTGGAAAATAATTTTTTTCAAAATCCGTCTTCGTATCGCGATACAAGCAATTGAAATTGGATTAACTTTTTAGCTACCGAACGCCACTACAGTGGATTTTCGTGAATATAAAAAAAAATGAATAAAAAAAATTTACAGTTTCTGCCGCATAAAAAAGTCGTAGCTAAAAGGTTAAAGCGATATAAAAAAAAAAAGTAAAATTTGAAAATATTCCCGCAAATGAACATATGCCCAAATACAGCCAACGTCATAACCGTTAAAGACTCGCCTTAGGATATTTTTCATTAATTTTTCTAAATCCCCGCGCATAATGAGCCTATCAGTTGAAATAACAAAAAAATAGGGCAGGGTGGGTAAGAGGGGGAGGAATGGATAGCGGCTTATTGTCGGTGTAGTAGAATCAAGGGGCTGGCCTCTTCCTCTCTCTCTCCGAACTCCCTGCAGGCATGAAAAACTACCCCCTGCGATACAAGCAGATGACGCCGCGATCCCCCCAGCTATCATAGAAATGTAGAAATATCTACCTTTTACAGCACATGTCACGAAATTCCCATGCTCGAATAGGCCATTGCTCATCGCACCTGATAGTCCGTGAAATGCCGTTATAATTCCACGCGCAACTCTTGATGAGGAATAAACGAGCTAAAAAGCGGAAACGAAGCACATACGATACCGTACCATTAACCATATACCCCAAACACGATAATTCATCTCTCTGTATCTATATGTAATAAAAAAATGAAATTATCCATTAAAAAGAAAATATTGTAATTTTTAATTTTTTTTTTTTTTTTTCAAAAATCCGCACTTTACATATGCAGGTAATATCCAAGTGCGTATTACGTACAAAGGCAGTTTGCAATGTACACGCGTGAATCACTTCCGGTTACGGGGAGTCTCTAACCACCGTTAAACTGTCTCACATGGAGAATTGCTCGCTCATACGTGTTTAACGTCACGTAGATAAAACGCACGATTGAGAATCGTCATTGGGACTTAATGTCAGTATTTTGCTATCCGAGCGTGTGAGTGTGTGTAACGGTTTCGAATTCTCGCGGTGAAGAGGGTAGGCAAGTTGTCTGTTAAAAAAATAATTTTAATGTTTAACGCACGGGTAAGACCACGAGTAAAACACAGAGTTTATGTCTCCCCGCGATGATGAAAAATTCACGGGGTGTAAGTTTTTATAACACGGTGCGAGGTCGAAGCGCAGTTCGCTTTTGCGATGAACGAAATGCAAGTTTTATGGAGGTAGTTGGCCAATGCCAAGGCATTGCGTGATTCTGATGGTAGACGACTACCGAGTCTTTCCCCGATGGCTACAAGTTTCCCTCGTCGGGAAATATAACTCGTGGTACAAGGGCGAAATAATCTACCCTGTTATTCGCCTCCCGCTACCTCCAGGCGCACCTTCGATTATTCTATGTGCACCGTGAACTACCCTATTTGCAAAGATACGTGCGAGCGTGTACATTAAATATGGAAAAAGTAACGTTGAACCTTACATGGAAAAAATTTCTATATCAATCGCCTATATATATATGAATATATCAGTTTGACGTAATTCGATACACCCTTATTCCTAGTTGTCGTCTTATCCATGGGCGATATTGATTACGAATTCAACAGGTTGTCGTAAGATATCCGTGCAAGTGATTCCTGCTGGGGATGATATTGAAAGTACGTGTAGATATAGATGTATATCATCAAAGTAATTGATTATTGACATTATCGCGAAGAGGGTATAGATCGATTGTGCATTATCCATGGATGTGAAATTTTCGAAAAGCTTAAGCCGTTTGGAAAGATCGAAAAGTCTTGGAAAAAAAAAATTGTCCTTTAGTCGCAAATATAAATGGCGTTATTGTACACGGTATGTAGTATAAAGAAATTTCGTGGACGATTTTACTAAGAAAAGAGGTATTTTGGGTGGAAAGTCCATTTATGAGGAAAAACATGTATTTGTGAATGAGCGTGTAGGATGAATGGATCGATTTGTCGCCAAGTTAGTAACCATACCTGTACCTTGTGTCAACCTCTGGGGGCCCTATAGTACGTATAGCTTTATAATAGGGCCCAACTCCTTGTCACGAGCTCCGCCCCCGCCATTGAAACGAAGGCAGTAGATGAAACCGTGAATGGGTCTGAATAGACCGGATGTGGCTGCTGCATTCAGGATCCAAGTGAGCAACCAGAAACACGACACTTCATCGTATCGCAATCTCCCAATCAACTGTTTTTTTCTCTCTTTCTTCTTGTGTGCCCATTTGCACGGAGGTTAAACGCTTTCGAAGTACCTTTTGACAGCGGCGTTGAAAAGTCCCTAGATCTAGTGATTTCACCATGCAAATTCATTTCTACGATGACAATAAGTAAATTTACTAAGATTTCTCTTATTTTCATTTCAGGTCGCATACTGTACGACATACCGTGTAAAGTCTGCAGAGATCACTCGTCCGGCAAGCATTACGGAATTTTTGCGTGCGACGGCTGCGCGGGATTTTTCAAAAGGTCAATTCGTCGAAATCGTCAGTACGTCTGCAAGGCAAAATCCGAGGGCGGATGCATGGTCGATAAGACGCATCGAAATCAATGTCGAGCGTGTCGATTGGCAAAGTGCCTGCAAGCGGGCATGAACAAAGATGGTGAGGATCGATATTGTTGTAAAAAAAAAAAAAAAAAAACAATTGAATCTATTTTCATAATAAAAAAAGTCTCTTTAATATCAGCGGTACAGCATGAACGAGGACCACGTAATTCGACACTGCGAAGGCAGATGGCTCTCTATTTCAAAGAACCCGAAATGATGTCCAACGTAGTGCAAACGCCAGCAGGAGCTCTCGATCTTGCGCTACCAAAGCCACCATCGGAACCCAGAGTCTCTGTTCCCGGACCAGTACCTCATCATCCGCTTCCTCATCCGATCTTTTGCAACAGCATGACTATACCAAAGGTTGGCAATATTAATTTTTATTATTATCCCACTGTTGTCTTACGTCTGAACCGTTCTCAAATTGTCGTTTTTTTTTTCTTCCTCAGATTCCAGTCAGTGCAGCAGGCTTACCAACAATGCCAATTATCCCGACAATCACAGCAGAGTCCGTTTGCGAGCAAGCCGCAAGGCTTCTGTTCCTGAACGTACGTTGGGCCAGAGATTTGGCAGCAGGTACAGGCCTCACCATAGAGGATCAACTGACGCTCCTGGAGGCATCCTGGAGAGAATTGTTCCTCTTGGCAGCCGCTCAGATGTTACCTAGTCTTGATCCGACGCCGCTTCTTCCACCGGGACCTCAGAGTCTTGGTCTAGCCGTGGAAGTCAGCCGATTTCGTGATACGCTCACTGGATTCCATGCGATGAATCTGGATCCCCATGAGTTCGCATGTATACGGGCCATAGTCCTGTTCAAAGCTGGATTGGACAGCGAACCGGCACCCAGTAGCAGCAGCAGCAATGGCTCCGCCTCCCCTAACGCTGGAAGTCGCTTGAGGGATGCAGCTTCTGTCGCGAGACTTCGTGACGGCGCTCAGCTTGCTCTGGGTCAAAGATTGAGTGGTGCTTCCTTCGGGGCATTGAGATTTGGAAAATTGTTATTACTTTTGCCTACCTTGAGATCAGTCTCTACACACGCCATTGAGGAACTCTTCTTCAGAAGAACCATCGGCGCCATTCCCATCGAGAGGATAATATGCGACATGTATAAAACGGCTTAAGCTTCTTTGTCTTTTCTGCATTCGCGTTTTCCTTTTTTTAATGCATTTTTTTTTAATGCTTTAGAAATACTTGACATAGCCCACTTTCTCATGCGTGTCTTATACTTTTTAAACTTTGACCCAAGGCTCACGGACCTCAGACTAACGTTTACGGATTACTATATAAAATAGAAGAAGGTAACTGTGATGAACGAGTGTCACGCTGATATCATAAAAGACATTTTGCGAGTTCGTTGAACGGGCGTAAAAAAAAAGAAATATTTTTCTATTAATATATTTAACAAGAGAGACGATGCACGAGGTGCGACAAGATGCAATAACCCTGCAACTGCCTCTACGCGTAAACTAGAAATGTCATCGGCATTTATTATTAGACCTTGTACAGTTGTAAATAGTATCTAGAGAGAAATATATTAATATGCACAGAATCGATCGATATAGGTAGTATAGGTAGATATATATATATATATTAAAACAACTTTAAGTGTACAAAAAGAGGACACGCGCCATGCGCGTTAATATACCAGTCTACACTGTAGATAAAGCTTTAAATAGTGTAAAATAAAATGTTAATCAAGTGGCACAATTACACGCGAAAACAAGCGCCTTGTTTTCATAATTAATTTTTGACATTTATTATTCTTCAATATCCACCTTCTAGCCCTCTCGCTAAACTGTCGATCTTCGATCTCCCAGCTACTTCCTCCGTGAGGAGGAATCCGAAGGAACGTAGACTGCCGAGATTTTACCTGCAGCTCAAGACAACAATGCAACTCGTTTCATGGGCATTTCACGGTGATTTGAGTTGAAATCGCAGTACAAAGGGACATCAGCGCCGAACTCCACAGGACTGTCAGTACGTTTAAGAGTATTTTTGGTTTGGTAGTAGGGCAACATGTAATCACCAGGGTGGGTAAATAATCGCCTTCAAAGGTTCATAAGAACCATTGGAAATATTTTACTTTGAAGTTTTGGCTACACTGCCACGTTACTTGTGCGTCTTTGTTAAAAATTTTATGGTTCACCCTTAAAGATCAGCCCTGTTATTCCTAGCGATGATCCTTGTGACAGTTTCCGAAAGAAAATATTTTTTTTTTCATATTTTAATTAATAAATTATACAAATAAAAACGTTGCAACGGTAACCCGAATCTTTGTAAAATTATTTATCGACGAGGAGGAACTTTACGAGGATTCTCATGAAATTTCTTCGTTCGGGCCCCACGGAGGTGATGCGGGACCCCAAAACGGCATCTCGAATCTCAACACTTCGTTACAAGTGACTCTCGTACATCGCATGAGCGAACACTGAAATGTTACCACTTATTCCCACTAGGGAAATGCTCCCTATGAATTTTTGTTTGCACCCCTTGTGTATTCCGGTAAGTGGAGGGTGTATCGTGTTTTTGTCATAAGCGATAGTAACGTTTAGAGTCCCACAGGACATTCTCTTATTTTCCATTACTTTCACAGATTGTCTGGAAAGTTTGCACGATCCGTCATAAAAGTATAGGTTAGGTACGTCAGCGACGTTCTTGTCGAGTATAGCGTATAGGTTGGCTAGAAAAATGGTAAGACCGAAAGGCGGCAGTGTCAGGGGGTCCCGACTGACCGCTAAAGCTTTACGCCGCATTGTGGATTTACCATTGGGGTATTATGCACTGACAAATTACTCAGGTAAACAGTCCGCCCAGAGCCACGGTGAAAGAAGCTGCGAGACTCGGCAGCAAAAGACATGCGCAGCATCGAGAAAGACGCTTTTTAAAAATTGTAAACAATAATACCACCCTCCGGTCAGACTGAAAAATAAAATTTCACACTCGAAATGAAAATTCCATTTTACAAATTTTCCTACAAGAAAACGAGTAACTTAATCGTGATGGAAATTATATATACATATATAGGTACGAGGTATCCCAGAGTAATTAGCTCCTCGATTTAATGATTCTCTGAAGTAGCCGTATGTTACGAATTTGCCATGTTGTACGTCCCCCTGCGCAATACTCGTAAAGAAGAGGTAGCAATGCTCTTAGCAAGTAATACTGTTGCGTTTCCGGACGAGTGAATAATAATCCGAAGCGAAATTGTCGAGTCCGTGATATCCCCACGAGCGAGAGAGAGAGAGAGGGAGCGAGTCAGCCATTGTCATATCGGAAGCATTATTCGCAGCCGGAGAATTCCTCCGGTTAAAATAAAAGAGTTGAAACGCGAAAGCCCACGTACGTATACAGAGCCACTAAGCCGACAAGTGGTTCCCACCGGGCGAAACTCCGCACCTTGCCAACACGAAATGCAAGCAGCATTGGCCGAGTGGTGGTAGCACGCGGTGAGTACCCCACGGGTACAAGAAAACAAAACATAGAAAAAGAGAAATGCTACAGGGAGTAACAGTAACAAAAAGTCTATCGATGCCGTTTTACAATGGCTCCAATGTAATTGCGTCTACTTAACAATGGGTCCTCGAATGCGTGTTACGTCGATCCGACGCCCCGATTTCTCGACGCCGATCGCCGAGACCGACCGACGTCGTCCATCGTCACGAGGACTCTTTGGGTACTGGCTATTGTGCCTTTTGTTTCGAGGTAACAAAATAGAAAAAGTCCTACATACGCCGCCCGTATTGTAGTCAATTAGCGACTGCAGAATGTGGCTGGGTGGTCGAGGACCGTTTTATGTCCTAAAAGTCTATAATTCGTGGCAACTTCAATAATTATCAGGAACACACGCTATAGTCGGAAATACGGTTATTTATGGATCTTGCCACTTTTTTCCCTCAATATTTGCAATATTTATTCCACGGTATTTTTGGTGTCTCCGATGAAATTGTGACAAATTGAAAATATTTATCGTATCTTTTTAACGGGACGCCTTATGCGTGCCAGCCTCGGCACCGCGAGGGTTGTTCCACATAGATATTACGTGCTTGAAAATTGATTTGAAAATATTTCGCATATTTCGCAAGTGAAAAGTATGATGGACGAGGGAAGGAGAGGTGTGGCGAGATGGAGCATCTGACTCCTAAAAAATTTAAACTCAAAAAATGAATTTGAACTCAAAAACTATTATTTTTATTTATAATTTATTTTTTACCCAAATATATCAAAATTGGTAATCGAGCATGGTTTTTCTAAAAAAAATGCACAGGCACGTAAACCGAAGGCAGTATTGAAAATTATAAATAACGTGTCTCTACAAGGGTATAGGTAGCCGCTCGAGTAAGTCATGTCGAGGAGGAAACGAGTCCGCAACCCCTACCCGCGATGAATGAATATTTGCACGTGCGACGCGTCTCGTGTCAGGAATTTAATAAAGCAAAGTTGAAGCCGAGACTGAGGTGGGCGAATATCTGCTACGGTTTTAAGAGGAATACGCTAAACGATAGTAGGCACTCACTCGTCCCCTTGGCAGCCAGCACGGGGTGCTTTCGAGTTCCAGCCGCACTCCCGTAAAATGCCCCCATTGTTGCGTCCCGTTGATGCATCCATTATGTCTACGTTGATGGGAACAGATTATGTTGGTCGCTGTCATTGAAGGGCTCATCACCGCCATGACACTGATGCCCGTAGGGGTGAATCAAGGCTCGCTTATTGTCCGAATAAATTATCGCAAATCGTACCCACCCCAAAATCAAATATCACGAGTAGGGGTACCCACGGTGCATTTACATTAGGACGCCATAACGGTTCTGAGAAATGTCAAAAAAAATGTATTCCTTATTTTTTTTTTTTTTTCAATTTTCTAATCAACCTTGATCTTGTCCAATTCAAAGTACAAGTATATAGGTAAACTATCGACAGAGGTCATCTTGGGGATGATGCTAGCACACCCTTATCTCGGTTACGGGGTCGAAGGATTATTAGGCCCGACACTCGGATGCCGTTCGACTTAACGAAGCATGAGGTACCTAAGAAATTTACTCGGTTAACAGGTTTCACGTTAACAGCTCGGAAACGTGCGCAACCTCAGCTACGCAGGGGGTCAGCCAAGAGTTCAACCTGACGCCGTAGAGCCTAGAGGTAGCTAAGAACACCCTTCCGCCATTATCTTAGCATTATCCTTAGAAAGGAAACTCGATCGGAGGTGTCGATCAATCCGGATTTACAGATTTCTTCTTTCGGTATTAGGCTCCGACCAAATTTTCTTGAACAAGACAATACCGATGGCGACTGAGAAGATACTCTTTTACGGGCTAACAATGTCCTGAGAAGGTAAGGATAATCGAGCTTCCTACTAATCTGTTTCCCGATAATGCTGACTTTAATTGTTATAATTGCCTGGCCCAGGTATACCTGCTGCGCCATCTTAGGTCTGTGCACCTGTTCGTTTTCGCTTCTGCTTCCTAATATCATGAAAATTAGAGAAGAATTTAGGTTAAATTATTATCCCTACTATAACCTGATAATATTCATTATCTAAAAGGATAGAGAGATTCGTGATCTGCCAAGACCAATTGGTAATATCTTGGTACAAATTTACATACTTTTGTGGAAGAACCTCAGGGATCTGGTGTTACCTTTTTTTCAAGGCTTGCCAAGGGTTGCGGAAAAAGGTAAGAAGTTGAATTTGTTGTTTGAACGATATACGTTCCAGTGTACCTTCCCTCTATGGACTTAAAGGACCACATACGCCTCTAGGATGGGAAACGGGTCTCTTACAATGGCTGACTTCGTAAGGCAAAAATCAGAAAGTTAGGGAGCCCCGTTCATCTCGGGGAATAGTGGGGACGCTCATAGAGTGATTCCCAAGGGATGCGCAGCTGTCATGCTACGCGCACCGATTGGCTGGTCGTGCGTGTCGGCCATGCTGGATTTTTCCGGTCTGGCTTCTTTTTACAATGGCATCGTGCGCCTCTAAAGGGTCAAACGTTTTCTGCGAGCCGGTTCGTTGCGTGCAAACGTTTGTGGGTGCGAAATCAGCCATTCGACCGGTTTCTCGACTTATAATGAGACACCATTACGGTTTCGACTCTTTTTCTCAATTTATGAACGCACTACTTTTACCAGAGCGCGATTAACTAACCTAAGATCTGAAAAACCGTAAAAATAATGGACGCTCAGTAGTGCCTTGTATATTTCGTACACCATATATATATACATGTGGCACAGTAAATATGTTTTGGATGTTATTGAAATAAATCCCGTCATATTGTCCTTAATACCATGCATGCGGCTAGTGGTTTACAAACGAAAAGAGAGGGTTATACATGGGGTTTCATCTACCACCAGGAGCACGCGTGTTCGCCACCCTCTAGGATTAGACATAATTATTGGAATCACACTGCAGACCGCAGGACGATTCACACGGTCGAAGTATAAGCACGTATGAACCCCCCCCCCCCC